GGAATGGCAGAGGAACCTCCCTGCTTCCCAGAATTCACCTGTTCTCATTGCATCACCTCTACTTCCTGTCTGGTTTTCCCACCTATACTGCCTGCCTGGCCAATCAGCGTTTTATTAAAATATGATTGACAGAATATAGACAATTCTCCCGCATCATATGAATATATAAATGAAACTTCTCCTTACTAAGCAGGATGAATATCACACACTGATACAAGTCTTTTTAATCTTTATGAAAGGCAGGGTAGCATACAGAACTGTCTTCATTCTGATCTTTCCCTGTAAAGCCACTGTTTATAGTGGACATCATTAAATCTGTACAGAATACAAATTGAGTAGAAATCTAACTATTTAAAACACGCTTTAACGTATTTGGTTACTCAGTTACTCTGCAGCCAACACTACTTCTACCTACTAACGATGTTGTTCAATACAATAATATAAAGTTTACTAAGACAATTGAGATTAAGTAACATTACAAGTCACAAGGTTTTTAGGTGACAATTTATAGCTATGATTCCATACATGGGACGAGTAAACCAATGTCTGTTTTCCAAATAAAATATAAAATTCCTGTCATGAATACTTTATAGTATATAGGAATGTAATGGTCTATCCTGTCTCTTTAAGAGACAAGCCATGCCCACTCCCTCCCCATCCACTGAGGCAGGCAGATCTTCCTTCCAGCTTGCAGCCTGAGTTCCTTCCTTTTCTGTCTCCCTCTCAAAGAGGCAGCTTCTACCTCTCCCCACTTCTTCCCTTCTCTCCTCTCTCTCTCTCTGCTCTTCTCTTTTTCTCCCCCTTCCCTTCCATAACCCACTAATTAAATATCCAACCTCACTCTGCATGGCATGCCTATCCATGTCTCTGTCTCTCGCCTGCCGCAGCGTAGTTCCCTGCCCAGGACTAGCTGCCTTTGGAGACTTGCGGTGCGGGAACTGCACCATCCCTGCCTGGGACTGGCTGCTCTGGGGCCTGCTGCCTATCCCTGCTCGAGGACCTGCGGTGTGGTCTCATGACCGCTGCCCACTGCCACTGCTCCGGGACCAGCAGTGTTTCTGCCACTGCAGCTGCTGGGGATCCTGCAGCATTTTACCTTTACCATTACATAGAATGGTTAAGAAAGCTCTATGAGAAGGTAAGAAAGAGAGACATGCAGATATTTCAAAAGAGCGTTTCTGTACCAGGCTTTTGGGCCAACAGCCAGCTCCCAAATCATATCATGGAGACTTAATATTAGTTTTGAATGCTTAGCCCAGCATAGGCTCATTTCTGACTCATTCTTTTAACTCAAATTAACCTATTTTTCTCTATCTACCTTTTGCCTTGGGGCTTTTTACTTTTCTTTCCATCTGTACATCTTCTCTCACTGCTTCTTGTGTACATGGGCTGGTGGCTGCTCAGTTGGCCTCAGACATCTTCTCGTTCTCTCCTCTTGTTCCTTTCCTATTTATTTTCTCTCCCTGGCAGTCCTGCTTATCCCACTCCTGCCTAGTTATTGGCCATTCAGCTCTTTATTAGACCAATCAGCCGCCTTAGGCAGGCAGGGTGAAACAAATAAAACACATCTTTACATCATCAAATACAGCATAAACCAATGAAACACACTTCACACAGTTAAAGCAACATTCCACAGCACATGTTAGACGGTAAAATGGTACGTGCAAATGTCCTAAGGGTCGAACACATTTGGTGTTTTGCATAGAGCCTGAAGCTGAGTGGACAGGAGTTGAGGTCAGAGGTGAGGTAAGGGTCTGATGGTGACAATTATCTGTTGGGACACTGGCTGTGACCTGCTCAGTACTGGCTAGCTCTTTATATCTGGATGAACACACACACACACACACACACACACACACACACACACACACACACATTTAATAGCCCCCCCCCCACACAGGCAGGAAGAGGGAGAGGGGGAGGGATAGAGGGAGAGAGAGAGAGAGAGAGAGAGAGAGAGAGAGAGAGAGAGAGATACTTACCTGCTAATGCCTTAATGTGTATCAGACATACACTTCTCCAGCACGGGATTCACTAGAGCTAGAAGCTCACTAAACAAACCCATATTCAACTATTGGTTATTGGAAGCTGCTCTTCCACAATCCATCCTTCCATATGGAAATTGGCATAACCATAATTTTTTGGTTTTGCTTGCGTTTCTGCCCCCATGTAAGTGTTACTGGGTCTGCCTTTTGTGTTAATCCTAAAATTCGCCAGAAAGACCAGTTCCATCATTTTGGCCGAATTTAAGCAAGCTTTTACTAAAAATATTAAATACTGACCAAAATGTAAAATGGCCAGTACCATCACCTGGAAACTTTCCAGGTAAAGGGTGCTGAGAAACATGTTGGTAGAGCTTATATGGGCAACACCCATAGGCCACCGTACTTTCCCATGTGGCTTTGTTGTTAGTTTCCAAGAACTCCAACTCCCAGAATCCCAGGAAGTTACCTACCTGGTCCTTGGATAGGTGTTATATCTTAGGAACTACAATTCCCAGAATCCCAGGAAGTTACCTGCTCTTTGAGCAGGAGGGACTTGTAAGTTAGCTTCCAGTCTAACATTTGAAAGAGGCTCCTGGGTCACAGAACACGAAGAAGCACACGTGGGAATGGCAGTGTCATTACCATCAGAAACGATCAATCACTTTGGAGTTTCCAAACTAATGGTAAAATGGGAAGAAGTCACACGAGGGATTCAGAGAGCCTTCTGGAAGGCTATAAAACACATAAAATTGCAATTACTAGAAATTAAGAAAGGATTGGAGAGGCTGAAGATCAAATCAGCCCTTTCCTCACCTTCTTCTCTTCCCCTTCCTTTGCCTTTCTCCTCTCCTTCTTACCTTTCTTCCCTGCTTCACCTCTACCTTCTTTTTTTCTTGCCTCTTCTGCTCGCTCATCCTCCTCACTGAGCATGCTCAGTTAGGCCCACCTCTTAGGAGATGAAGTCTAACCTTTTTAATTGCAGATCCTTTGTGTCTTACAGGTTCTGTTTGGAGTCTGGTCCCTGCCCAGGCTGCAAAACTTCATGAAGAACCTTCCTTCTGCGTTTGAATGTGTTCTCACAAATTCTTTAGTTAGTTCCAGTATGTTAAAATGACCCCATCCAGTCTGTTGCTCTGCCCTCTGGCAAAGGTAGAATGTGCCATGCCTGAGAGCTCTCCTCACTAGGCACCCTGCCAACCAAGCTTCCTGGAAGGGGACAGCTGGGTGGAATTTCCCCTTGGGTCAGACGGAACAGCAACCACCCCAGCAGCAGACACATGCAAGATAAACTGAAAGGATCCCACGCATTTTCTTCTTGGCTAGGAGACCTCAGTTTGTTTTGTTGTTGGTTTTTTTGGGGGTAGTATTTTGAAACAAGGTCTCATGCAGGCCAGGCTGGCCTTGAAATGATTGTACAGCCCAGTGTGGCCTTGAACTCTGGATCCTGCTATCTCCACCTCCCAAGGGCTGAGATTATACTTCCTGTTTAACTGTGCCCTTCTCAGAACATCCTTGGTACTCTGGTGACAGGGAGACTTGCTGAGCCCATGCCCCTTTTGCAAACTATGCTGCATTAGCATTTAGGTAAATTAAAATTATTCTTGATGCTCAGGAAAACCAGAATGCTTGAGTGTCTTCCCTGCAGGGAGCTCCAGAATGCCTTGCCCAAATGACCTTGGCGGACCCTGCAGCGTTTACACTTAATGCTGCCTGCTCAGTTGAAATGAAATCATATTTTGCTATATCAGCCAATATTCTTATGGATTCATGCCCAGAAATGAACTCATACAGTTGAATAATTCTTTTAGGCCACTGATCAACAGTTGAACATTAATTTATCCTTTATCAAATGTTATGTGTTGGTTGGCCTAGAGATTAAAACTTTTTTTGAAATTAAGTATGAAACCCAGAAGTTAAAAAACGTATATGTTGAATTATATAAAAACACCATAAGAAGCTAAATGGACATCACTAAAGAATTATTTTTTAAAACATTAGAGAAAAACTCGGATGGCTTTGAATACATTTGATTGCATATATTATGTTATATCCCCTTGCTGGGATATTATGTGGCTGTACAAAGGAATGAGAAAACAGCAGGAAAGAATGTGAGCAGCTGAGGGAAGATTTCTAAAATGTCTTAATAAAAAAGCAAAGTTCAGAACAATATTTCGTGCTTCGACAGAGAAGGAAGAAGCGGGAGGACGTATATTGCAGTTTGTTCACACATCCACTAATTCTGGAAGGAGGGCTACTGAAAAAGCAGAAAACAGTGGGGACCGCGGAATGCGGGAATTGGGAAAGCTGGAGATGAATTCGGTGCTGGTGCTGTCATGCTTTTATACATGTTGGTTTTAACCCAAGAGAATGCACGGCCTTCTGAAAAGTCTAAATCAAAAAAGCTTACCTGTATCTGAGAGGCAGTCAGTAGGCATGGTTGTCGTTGTTGACACCACATGGAAGGAGTACAGAGAGCCGAGCAAACGGGCCATGGTCAGTCTGCCCAGAAGGTTCTTCTCCTGAGCTCTTCAAATGACCAACTCCACCTCACCATGCTCACCAGTGCCAGTTATCACCTCTGTAGACATACCTTTTGACCATTCCATGTAAAAGCCATTTGTAGCAAGTCTTTCTCTGTCCTACCTTTCAGTTCCCAAATAACCACACAGAGACTTATTATGAAAGCTTGGCCAATAGCTTAGGGTTTTTTTTCCTGACTAGTTCTTATAACAACCCATTTCTATTCACCTATGGTCTAGCACGTAGCTCTCTTCCCTCTTGTACCTCCTATTCCTTCACATTTCTTGGCTTCTTCCTTCTTCGTCTCAGTGTCCTCCCCGCCCTGAAAATCCTGCCTAGCTATTGGCTGTTGAACTTTTTATTAAACTAATCCGAGTGACACGTCTTCACAGTGTACAAAAAGATTATTCCACAACAGCCACGGGCAGTTATGCTACTTGTCAACTCTTCTTTATAGCATGCACTGCTATTAGAGAACATCTTTAAAATTTTAAATAGAATCTTAATTAATTAGCATTTTAAGTTAAAATATAATTGCAGCATGCCTCCCCTTTTCTTTCTTTCCTCTAGGCGCTCCAATGTTCATCTCTTTGACCCCTACCGTGTCTCTCTACCTATTCTCAAATTGATGACTTCTTTTATTATTATTGACACACACACACACACACACAAACACACACACACACTACAACCTACCCAGTCAATTTTTGTATATTTGGTTCTGGGGCTGACCACCTTGTAGTGGATAATAAGGGTTCATTTGTGGGAGAGGCTATTTCTCCCTCTCAGCAGTCATTAGCTGCCTGTAGTATTTCCCTTTCCTTCTTAGCCTGTGAGTTGATGTTGTCATTGTTTCCCTTCTTGTTCATGCAGCTCTTTCTCAGACAGGCAGTCTCACAGCACATTTCTTCATACTCTGCCTCTTACAGTCTTTCTGCCCTCTTCTCTGTTCCCGGAGCCATAGGTGCAGGAGCTGGAGTTCTGGAAAACGTGAAAGTTTTCTTGAGCCAGAAGAACAAACAGATGCAACATACGTGCAGCAAAGATTGCAACCACTGCAGAAGCCCCTGGGACACAAGCTTGGGCAACCAGGAAAGGAGTTTAGAGAATCCAGATAGGACTCACTCCTGATGACCTGGTCATCAGAGAATAATTCTAAGAGCTTGAACCTTTCCTTTCTTTCTTTCTTTCTTTCTTTCTTTCTTTCTTTCTTTCTTTCTTCCTTCCTTCCTTCCTTCCTTCCTTTCTTTCTTTCTTTCTTTCTTTCTTTTTTTTAAACAAGATTTCTCTGTGTAACAGCTCTGACTGTCCTGGAACCAGCTCTGTAGACCAAGGCTGGCCTCAAACTCACAGAAAGCCACCTGCCCCTGCCTCCCAAGTGCTGGGATTAGAGGTGTGCACCACCACTGCCTGGCAGCTCTTGAACATTTAATAAAATTATAAAATATTTTAAATGACTGTGGTGATTACAATAAGAACAGCACCCATAAGTTCACATATTTGAATGCTTAGTCAGCTAAGGAGTGGCACTGTCTGAAAAGATTAGAAGGATTATGAGTTGTGGCCTTGTAGGAAGGCGGAGATATGTCACTGGGGGTGGGTCTTGAAGTTTCAAAAGTTCATGCCAGACCCAGTCTCTCTCTCTCTCTCTCTCTCTCTCTCTCTCTCTCTCTGGATCAGGATGGAGAACTCTCAGCTACTTCTCCAGTACCATGTCTGCCTGCATATGACATATTTCCAACTGTTTCATGCTGCCCACCATGATGATAAAGATCTAAACCTCTTGCTAGGTAGTGGTGGCACATGCCTTTAATCCCATCACTCGGGAGGCAGAGGCAGATGGATCTCTGTGAGTTTGAGGCCAGCCTGGTCCACAAGAGCTAGTTCCAAGACACAAACCTACACAGAGAAACCCTGTCTCAGAAAACCAAAAACCAAAACAAAACAAAAAAAGCAAGCCCACAATTAAATGCTTTCTTTTATAAGAGTTGCCGTGGTCCTGGTGTCTCCTTACAGGAATAGAATGCTGACAACAACAATGACCAGCCTGGAAGGTGTGACTAGCCTGATGGACTAAATTAATAATTCTGATCTTCAGTGATGACCATCGTGTATATGCAAACAAATACTGTGGAAAGTACTCTAAAGAAACAGCTTACATCCTAATGCCGGTATGATGGGTCCAGCACTGTTCTAGATACTTCCTGCATGCTGAGTTGATCCCCACACAATCCCATGTGATACATACTGTTTCTCCCTTTTAGGGATGCTAACTGAGAGAGAGCCACCCAAGTTCTGCTGTGAATAAGCTGTGGAGCATCAGTGTACATGGGATGCTGTGCTATGGAGACAGGAATGCCAGAGTCTTTAAAGCAGTCTTGGACTTGGACTCATTTATTCTCTGTTTCGAATTGTGGATCAACATTTCTAAGGAATAATTGAACCCTGTTTTGTGAAATATTATCTATTAGTCATGGAAATGTACTTATGAAAATTTTACTAGTAATAGAAGCAAAGCAAAATCATTTAAATAAGATTTTATGAATAGTACAAACTTGAATTACCCAGGTCCTCTCATGGGGAGTTTTTGGTGGGTTGTGCATAGTAAGGCTGGAGCTTCATTTATCTGTGGGGAGAGTAGGGGTCCTGGAAGAGAAGAAGCAGCCTTTTTCTCCCACATCCTTGGCTCTTTAGGGATGAGAATGAGGAACGCTGATATCTCTCCTTGTCTTTTCTTTATCTTCATTCCTATGGGAATGGTAGGGCATTCATGAGATTTCAATAAAAACCTGGAACCACTGGAGACTGCATTCAACAAACATTTACAAAGTACCTGGAATGAGACTGTCAATGTGATAACCATCAGTCCCAGCCTTTGTGTGGTGGTACATGCCTATAAACCCAACCCTGACATCATGGTGCATGCCTGTAATCCCAACCCTGGCCTAATGGTGCATGACTGTAATCCCAGCCCTGGCATCATGGTGCATGCCTGTAATCCCAACCCTGGCCTAATGGTGCATGACTGTAATCCCAGCCCTGGCATCATGGTGCATGCCTGTAATCCCAACCCTGGCATCATGGTGCATGCTTGTAATCCCAGCCCTTGACGGGGTGCATGCCTATAAACCCAGCCCTGAAATCATGGTGCATGCCTGTAATCTCATCCCTGGCTTCATGGTGCATGACTGTAATCCCAACCCTGGCATCATGTTGTATGTCTGCAATCCCAACCCTGACATCACAGTGCATGCTTGTAATACTAGCCCTGGCATCATGGTGCACACCTGTAATCCCAACCCTGGCCTCATGGTGGATGCCTGTAATTCCAGCCATGGCATCATGTTATATGCCTATAATCCAAGCCCTGGCATCATGGTGCATGCTTGTAATCCCAGCCCTGGACAGGATGCATGCCTGTAATCCCAGCATTTGGGAGAAGCATCTTCCTTGTGAGACATGAACCAATGACAGGCCAAAGAAATAATTGTTCCTAAATCCATCTTGGTGACCAACGACTTCAACTGGAGTTACAGAAGCATTGGTGAGAGATGCTTACAGGAGCGTGAGCAATTTAGAGGTGGCTATACCACTGAAGAGGACACTCCCTCCTAGCAATTGTCAACCATGGACATATCTTCAAGGAGTGGATTGACCTGGTGTAGACCATGCTTGAGCCCCTCATGTTCCCTGTGAGCCATTGCTTGTTAGCCCCTCGTGAACCTTGCAAACCCTCTCTTCCATGAGGCAATCTTATGGGTCCAATCTTGTGGAAGCCTTGTGTGGCTCACACAAATAATCACAGTTGCTTGTTTTCAAGACATTGATGGCTATGCCATACCTGGAAGACAGTATTCCACAACCAGGAGGTAGAAGGATCCTACAGATAAGCCTGAGCTACACAGTGAGACCCTGTTTTTAAATAACTAAATAAAAGGCAATCTCAGGTATACAGAAAACTACAGTCCAGAAGCCAAGAACAGAACAGCGGGCTAGGGAGCAGAGTGGGTACAACACCCCATGTGGGTACAGAGACTGATGCTGGCCTGGGGAGGTGGATAGCATACAGGTGGTGAGGGGGGTCTTCGTTGAGGGTAGATGTCAAAGGATGGGTCAAGTTTTGAAAGGCTCCATTGCAGGAGACTTCAGAGAAAGGAGCACAGAGTCCCTCTGTCAGATGATGTAGGTGAGGAGAGAAAGAAGAAAGCTATGGATTGACCATGATGGTGTGGGAGAGCAACAGAAGGCTCTGAACACTGGGCTGAGCCTGATGCAAGGCTGAGGGCATCTTGTACTAAGTCTGGGTGGTGGAGAGGTGAAGTTGGAGCTGCTGAGAACTTCCAGGTACCATTAGAGGGAGATCATTTATTGGCCTTGACCTATAGCTAGTGAATGCTATTGATTGCTCTAAACGCACAGCTACTCACTGGGGTGTGGAAATAGCAGCGTTTGCTGTCATTGTCTGTGAGCATGATAATTAAACAATATTGTACTCTCCAGACGGCTAACGGGAAACAAAGGGTGCTCTCAAGGACAACGGCTCCAGGAGCGTTCACTTGAGAAGGACAGTACCAAGATGTGGGTCTGGAGTCTTTGCCAGGGTCGCTGTGCTTACCTGGGTCTGGCAGTGGCAAACTGATGCCACACTCCAGGTGCCTCGGACAACGACAGGGGATGGAGGTACGAGTCCAGAGTAGAGGGGGCCACATTAGCCAAGTCTCGAGGGGAAGAGTGGGGACAAACAGCAGGAAACCACCAGACAGTGCGGTGGCTCACACCGTAATCACAGTTCTCAGGAGGCAGAGGCAGGAGGATCATGAGTGTGAGGCCCTCTTGGGCTACATAACAAGGCCTGTGTCAACCAACCAAGCAAAGGAGAGATTGCACCACACTCTTTCCCTCCTCATGCCTCGGGCAGTCCCAAAGTTGAGAAGTCTACGGCGTAGGTTGGAGGGTGAGCTTCGAAGGGCAAATAAAAGATATCTGGTACACGTGTTAAAGTTAAAGTTCCTTCAAGAATCCTCCCCAAAAACGCCCAGGAGAAAAAGCTTACGAGGAGAATTGACCTTACAGTGTGTAACGGCTCAGATATCATATGCTTCCCTTCTGATTCACACAGCAGTCCGCGGCAAGCCACAGACCAGTGGAGGGATGGTGGGTGTGGCTACGGTGACGTCCTTCCTCCTATCAGTGCCGCTCCCTCTGGGGGCCGTTTTCTTCCGAACCACCAGTGTCTTTTTAGCCCAGTCGGTTTGTATTAAGAAAGAAACTTAATGCTTTAGAATTATTTATTTTAATTGACAATTTTTTTCTTTCTTTTTTGCATGTGAGTTAGTGTATTCATGTAGAGGGAGGGGGCAGAAGAGAGCATTGGATTCCCCTGGAACTGGAGTTACAGGCAGCTGTCAGCTGCCAGACCCAGGTGCTGGGAACTCAATGTGGTTGCTTTCCAAGAACAGCATGAGCTCAGCTGAGCCATCTCTCCAGCCCCAACCAGGCTCTTGAGCAGATCGAATGCCTTTGAGCAGTCTCGTGAACTTTGTGTGTAATTCCTAACAGTGATGATTGCTGAGTGTACTGAAATGCCCGGGGCACATCCCTGAAGGTGTGCATTAGCTGCGAGTATGCGTGAGAGCCTGTGGAAGAAGTTGTGAACTGACTGTGAACTGTGGACGGGACAGAGTGCAGAATGCTCTCACCTACAAGGGCCTTCTAGGAAGAACTGCACAAACTATGGTAAGTGGATGCACGTGAAAGCAAGGACATGAAGCGACTACCCCGGCATATCCACATTATCTCTGTGGGAAAAGCAAAGGCCCGGGAGGAAAATTCTTGGCTCTTTTCACATGACCTAAGATGATGAGACTAACACCAGGTGTATTCCCTCGCTGTGCTTGTCTTTGCTTAAGCTCACGGCAAACGTCACTGCATGCTTTGCTCTCATAAAAATGAGAAGGGCTTTGTTTGCACTACTCGAGCTCAAATGCCCGGGGACCCGTGGCACTCCACGCAGGTCTTTGGAATATTCTTCAGTCATGGAGCTTTGCTGGCCATGAAATGGGTGGACAAGTGTACAATTCTATTTTTTAAGCATTGTAAGAATTAAGAATTTTGGGGCTGGAGCGATGTCTCAATGGTTAAGAGCACTGGCTGCTCTTCACTGTCCCAGGTACAATTCCCAGCAACCACATGGTGGCTCACAACCATCTATAATGAGATCTGATGCCCTCAGGCACCATGGAGGCAGAATAATATACATAATAAATAAATCTAAAAAAAATAAGAAATTCTCATAAAAAATTAAGAATTCTTAATCGTACAGTTAAGGATCGTATGATTCTCAATCTTATAGCACCTTTCTCGTTCTTTAATCTGGAAAGTCTGCTTCCAGCTGCACCCTCTCCGCATGGCTGCCATCTTCTGTTCGGTCTCTGGAAGTGGCTAAGAGCCCAGCAGGACTAGATGCTGACAGTAGCCAGAAGAACGTGACAAGGCAGGAGGAAAGGCCAGACTGCTTAGAAGACCTGGAGCTGCAGACAGAGATCCGCTGGCGGAATCAATCATCCATATGGCTTTTCCTCCATTAGCGTCTCTGCTCCCTCCTCCTCCGCTCCAGACACACAGTTCCTTTCCTGTGGGCCCTGTGGTCCGCTTTTGTGGCCATCAGAGTGACTCACACAAGCACACGCCCACGCAATTCTGACCCCATCATGACAGTAACTTCCCTGCCTTATGGGCTTTTTTCCACAGCCTCTACCAGATTCTAAAGCACATGCAGGCAAGAATTTGGACGAAAGAAAGAATGAGCCCTTGTGTATGTAGCTTTAGCTGGAGTCCCTCAAATTACTTCCTGGCAAGATTAATAATCATTATCTTTAAACTGGCGTTCATATGTAAGTCAGCTTCAGATTTCACCTCTAGGCGAAAGCCCAAACAAGTCCTTTTTTAGTTACTCGTGCTGTTGCTGTGGTAAAATGAATGGAAAACAACTTCTGGGAAGACGGGCTTGTTTTGGCTTAGAGTCTGAGGGTCCAGTCCATCGTGGTGGGGAAGGTGGCCCAATAAATAGGTTCCTCCCGCTCTGGCCCTTCACTGGTCATCTAGGCTCCAGATGCCTTAAAGGTTCGGTAGCCTCCAAACATGATGTGATAGCTGGGGGCCAACTGTGTAAACGCAGTGTCTGTGAGAGACATTTCAAACTGTAACCATCCCCAGATGCCTGGGTCCTGGGGTTGTTGTCTGCCCCGCTTCCTTTTTAAAAGAATGTACCTGTCGCCCTAATTGTAATAGTGTGTCTTCTTCTCAGTGCTGGGAACCACTCCGAGGGCCTTGTGCGTGCTGCTCAGGCGTTGTGCCGCGGAGGGGCACCTTCAGCCTTGCCAAGCTCTCGCTTTGTGCCAGGCTGGCCTTGAACTCGCAGAGACCCACCAGCCTCTGCCTCCTGAGTCCTGGGATTAAGCATCTATGCTGCCGTGCCCAGTGCCTGTCTTATTTTCCTTCTCTCGTATTAAAGGAGAGGAGAGCACAACTCTGTGGGCCAAAGTTATTTAACAAAATTAAACATGTGGAGACTGAAGAAGTGGATTTGTACCCAAACTCTCTGTAGTAGCAATGTAACAAAACTCTAAAATCTCACAGATGTTTATCAAACGTATCCACAAACCCTCGTTTCATCTTCATTGTGTGACAGTTGGTTAGAAGATACAGTCCAGGGGCTGGGGAGATGGCTCAGTGGTTAAGAGCATTGCCTGCTCTTCCAAAGGTCCTGAGTTCAATTCCCAGCAACCACATGGTGGCTCATATTCATCTTTAATGAGGTCTGGTGCCCTCTTCTGGCCTGCAGACATACACACAGACAGAATATTGTATACATAAAAAATAAATAAATAAATAAATAAATAAATAAATAAATAAATAAATAAAAAAGAAGATACAGTCCAGTGACTGTGGAAGTCACTCCAATGTTGACAGAGCTCTTGGGACGTCATCTGTGTTTTCTCCTTGACTCTGGTTTAGAAAGGAAAGGCACAAGCTAAAGTTCACTCCAGGGCTGCTGAGACGACTCGGCAGGTACCGATGCTTGCCACTAAGTCTGATAGATGTCTGAGCTCAAGCCTCAGGACCCAAGCCTAAGTTCTTAAAATATTCTAAATGCCATATTCTGAAGGTCTCTGAAAGATTTGAAGAATACCTACCTAACTGAAATGTATCTCTATATAGCCAGAAAACCTAATTAACATGACTACAAGCTTGACTATTTTAGATGATTATCTATTAACCTATATTTCTTAATTATACATTACATTTTTAAATGAGCTGCACAAACACAATACTTTAATCAAGAACAGAAACAGACATATAACAAAATTGACCTTAAATTTGTATCAATAAATCAAGATCCATACCAAAGCAAATCTCTTTGCACCTGTCACCAGAGACATCAAATGATATTTTCTTGACTATTTTGAACTTAGAGTTCTAAACATGTAGAAATAGGCTGTTAAAAAAAATCTACCTACATAGTTAGTAATATGACCTTCAGGGCTTTTCTCTACCTTATGGGATCACATCTTCATGATCCAGAATACTGAGTTACTTACGCCAGGAGGTGAAGATCCAGTGTCAGCGCCAGGCTCAGCCCCTGAACAAGAGTGAGAGCCTGTAGCTGTGAACAGCACTGAGTCTTTCTGTCTGTCCTGCCTGCTTCCAGAGCTCAGGCATCTGAAGTCCCTGGGTTGTTATGGACACATTCTCTGAGGAGGCTGGAGACCCAGCCCCCTCCATTACCTCTTGCAGCTTCCTGTTGGACAGCACAGACCCATGATGTCTCCCACCGTCCTCCTGGGCTACCTTCTCTTTGTGTGACTCAGTTTCAAAGTCCTCCTTTCTGACAAGGACACCAGTCATCGGATTTAGTCCTCACTGTCCTCTTGTCTCAGGGCCAGGAACGCAGTGAAAGCCGTTCCACTCAGTGACCAGCCTCTCCCACCCTCCTAGTACCCACTTGAACCAATCCGCCATGCTTGGCCTGAGGTACAAGTCCCCTCTAAGTCTCACCAGAAGAAGCAGAATAGTAAGCAAGGGCCCTTAAGATACTTAGGAACAACTAGCATGCAACAAATTGAGCACACACAATGTAACCAGAAACCAAGGCAGAAGCCACCCTGCTGTGGCGTTTCCTTTTGCCCTCTGTCCTAGGGATGGGTTTCAAAATTTTAGTCTTTACTCCACCCAGCCTGTCACTTATTTACCCAGAATACCACTTTGATCTCAGTTGTGTCCAAGGGCCTTTGGAAGTCATGATATGATTTGGAAATAACTTCATGTGTGTTGACCTGGGGCTTTTTTTGCCACCCCTACTTCTACCTCTCCCCAAATAGTAAACACTTACGGCAAGGAACTCAGGGTGGCCCACGGAGACAGCTAGGAGCTGAGACCCTCACTCTGGCAATTTACAATGAATGAATGAATCCTGCTAATAGCCATGTGAACTAGAAGCAAATCCATCTCTCATGGAGTCGCCGTTGCACCCCTCCCCGCAAAGCTCTGCCTGGTACATTAATAATAGCTTCATATTATAAAATAAAAGATCCTGAAGATACATAATTCTTAGGTTTCCAGCCTAGTCATGGGGTCAAAACTACTGACTGCCAACTAGAGAAAGATGGGTTTACATACTGCACTTCAAATAATCTTCAAGCAGAAAATGTTAGGGGATATTTTCACACTTTCAGGAAACACGTTACCTAAATGCCAAACTTCCCAGAAGCCCATGTCTAACTGAGGCTCCGCTGCTGCCCTCCTGTCCTGTGAGATCTTGTCTTTCCTTCTCCATTGCACTGTGGGGAAGGCTTGTGGCCAGTTTCCCCGTCTTTGGAAGGGATTGTCCGTGATGAAGCCTGCACTCCCTTCCTGGGAATCCCATTTTCTCAGGAGACTGCTTCCTCTTTTGGAAAACCAAAGATGACCCAGCAGACGTAGTCACAGGATGCCACTTGGGATCAACCCCACTCTCCCCAGCATCATTAGCGAAGGCAAACTTGCCTTTCTGGTCCTCTGCGCAGAAGCATCGGAGACTTTTCTGCTGTTTGCAGTCAGTTTACTTCATTGAGTCAACTTCACTGAGCTCTAGAAAGTGATGGAACAGTTTCTTTTGCCCCATGCTAAGAATGAAAAGATAAACTCAATGGCATTAAACCACAAAAGACTTCTGTATGAACTTAATGGAGAAAGTAGGATGTAAGAGAAAAGCTGGAAAACTTCCAATATTGCCATCGACAAAGGGCAATTTCCTCAATAGTGTCCAGCAGCTCAAAACAGCAAAATAAGTAGGTAAAGCCATGTGCGGCAGGAGAGGGGACGCGAAAAGTTCTCAGAGATAAGCACGTCTGTCCAGCCTCATAAGATACCAAATCAAACTGCAATGAAATATACCTTAACATTAAAAAATTACACTTCTTTACTCATTTCGTGGTCTCTGTGTGCTGTGTGTACACACTCTTGAAAGTGTGCATGCCACAGCACCCTCACGGAGGGCAGAACAGCTTGTAGGAGTAGGCGCTATCCTGCTACGCGGTGCCCAGTGGATGGAACGCAGCTCTCACACCGAAGCTTGGCAAGCAAGTGTCTTTCTTTAGGCACGGAGCCAACTCCTGGTCTCTGGATACCATTTTGAATCTATCAGCTGGCAAACGTGAAAGCGTCAGTCCACCCCACACTACGGGGGAAACCCCCCCCCCCCCATATGGGTATAATTTGGCGTAAGCTCAGTGTAGGGCGATATGACAGAAGAGCGGCGAAAATACCAGCACTGAAATCAGGTGTGGCGGTGCACACCTGCAGACCCAGCACGGGGTGGAGGGGGGATGAGGCACAACGGTTGTCACATTTCTGATACCAGCCTGTCCTACACGGCAGACACGAGGTCGTTTGGGGGACGTATTACAAGATCTCGCCGCAAAAAAACAAAGTTAATGTTTACATAACAACCTCCCCCCAAGAGTACACCCGTACGTAATACACGTTCAAAGGCAGTTGTGCAGGTCTGGCAAGGTGGCTCAGCCGGTGAAGTCACACATCGTCAAGCCTGATGACCCGAGTTCTACTGAACCAGCAATGAGAACGAGGAACCTACTCCCCAACCGTATGTGCCAAACCTCAGTTTTTAAAGGGAAAGACTGAAAATAGGCAACGCGAGTAAACAAGGTCCTGTTTAATTCTCTGGCTAAAACGAACAAACAAGGCAATTCTATTTGCGTGGATGGGATGTTTTCAAAGCTTGTGTGTGTGTGTGCGTGTGTGTGTGTATGTGTGTGCGTTTCCAGAAGGCAACATGTGTAATATTTTTGATGTTTACACAATAAACTTGTACATTGTAGGTATACTTGGATAACAGATAATATTTCTGTAGAAATAGATGAGAAATAGGAGGCAACATGTTTGCTTCCAGATCAGGGAACTAGATGCCCGGAGTCAGCAGACACAAACTGGGAGTTTATTTCTTATTTTACAGTGTTTTGACTATTCTGGGTGAATGTTATGAATCAATTCCCTGTTCATAATTGTTAATGAAAAAGGGTAATGTTTTGCCACCCAAATTCTCTCTAGAACTTCAAAGGAGGGGCGCACTTGGGGAGACACAGTCGGTGAATGCCCCTCTGTCGACAGAAAAGTAGAGAATTGCTCCCTGTCGTTTTAAAGTGCAGCTTAAAATAGAGTGTCGCAGGGCTCCTGGCTTAGCCTGCTGATTACTGGTTACAAGACTGTCAGGGATCATTTTCCAAAAGCCAGTTTGAAATTTGCAGTTCCCTATAACCCAGCAGCAGTTTGTGTTTCCTGTGTAGATACTCTAGGGAAAGCGCCAGGCTAGTGGTTGACAACCCCACTCAGAGCCTTGGTCCCCAGACAGCTGTTTCCTCACTGTCCTCGGCTGGACCCCCTGCCCACCCTTCTCTTTCTGGGTGTAGCCTGTGAGGGTTCTGCAGCTGTGCGGACAGCCCGCCCCTTTCCCTGTAAGTCTGGAACAGCCCTCGTCGGCCACTCTGCAGCTGTGACTGCAAATGCTTCGCGTTCCGGGACGTTCTGCTGTTTTGAGTCTCCTCTGTGGCTGGAAACACTAAGCAAATTGAAAGGGAGGAGAAACAGAGGCCCTAAAACATTGCGGGGATGAGGGAGAAACTTAAGAAAACTGCAAAGAGTACGTGCCGGAAGAGGCACAGTCTGTCCGGCCTTCTCCTTCGCTCAATTGGTTCGCTGGTGGCTGGAGCCAGGAGCTGAGCCCAGTAAAGTTCCATTCACAGACAAGAACCCCACCCTGGAGACCATCTCCCGGTCGAAGCTAGACTAGCAGGCAGAAATGTGAGCTTCCTTTATACTTAATAGATGTGGTGTTTGCATCCTCCACCACTTTGGTGGTGGGAAGGGAACCCAGGCCCTGGAGCAAGCAAAGCCTGCGCTCTACTGTTGAGCTTAAGCCTCCACACCCTTCTCGGTGCCTCTTACAGCTCTCGACTGTCAAGCTTCTTAAAAAAGGAAGTCATGAGTGATATGTGTGTCCTGACTCTTTTCGTGTTCGGTGTCAGGTTTCTGTTACTGTAATTCTGTTACTGTGACAGAAACAATGACCAAGAACAATTCCGAGGAAGAAACTATTTGCTCTGATCACGGTTCAGCATGGGCAGGAACTCAGACAGGAACCTGGAGGCAGGAACTGAAGCAGAAACACGGAGGAATGCAGTTTACAGCGCGTCCTCCAGGATTATGTTCAACTACCTTTCTTTTCATTTTGTGTATTTTGCCTGCCTTTTTTTTTTTTTTTTTTTTTTTGGTATCACATAGGTACAGTCCCCACAGCAGCCAGAAGAGGGCATTAGATCTCTCTGTGCCTGGAGTTACAGAGGGTTGTGAGCTGCCTTGAGGGTGGAAATGGAACTCAGGTTCTCTGGAAGGGCAGGCAGTGAACTTCTGTCAACTCCCTTCCTTATACCTCCCAGGGCTACCTGCAGGGATGTCACCACCCGCAGTGGGCTGCCCCCTCCATCAATCATCAGTCAACAAAATACCCCAGAAACCTGCCTACAGGCTGATACACGGCAGCGTTTCCTCAGCTGTGGTTCCCTCCTCCCGGATGACTCTAGCTTGGGTCAAGTTACAATTTGAGAAGGTCTGTTATGCATGTCCCTCAAACCTTAACGTTCATAAACTACCCCAGGGTGGTCCCACCAGCATCTCTTCACTGCCTTCCGCCACTGAGCTCTGACAATTTGATCCTCCCGAGAGTCTGAATTCCTTTCCTTTTGAATTCCAGCAGCTATACCAAGATATGTCTCAACACTGAATGTGCCTCTGTGACTTTAAAAATTGTTATTTATTTTGGGTGTGTGCACACGCGCATGTGTATGTGTATGAGTATGTGTGCCTTGGCGTGCATGTGGAGATCAGGACAACATTTGTATATTATCAGCTCTCTTACCTTTTATGTGAGTCCAGGATTTGAACTTACATCACCAGGGTGGCATGGTCCGCTCCTTTATCCACTGAACCAATTTGTCTGCCCTTGACTTTTTTTTTTTTTTTTTGAGACAAGGTCTCATTATGTGGCCTAGGCTGGTCTTAAATTCATAATCTTCCTGCTTCAAGCTCACAGCGAGCATGTTACTTTTGGGGGGTACTCTTTAGATACGGTCTTGCTTGTAAAGTTCAGGCTGGTCTGACTTCATGCTGTTCTTGCCCCAGCAGCACCTTGAGTGCTGGGGTTACAGATGTGCACCACAGATGTCAGACAGTGTGTTCTTTATTTCTGCAGCTTCTCCTGCTTCAATTCTGGTGATGAGATTGGTCTGTTTTCATTGCCACAATAAAAACCAAAGCACCCAAGGGTGAGTAGTAACCTAGGGAAAAAGGGTTTATATTAGCTCAAGGTTCTGGAAGGTCAAGGGTGTGGTGGTGGCCTTGACTCAGGGCAGTTATGATGCTGGGGACACAGGTGGGAAGAGGCTGCTCGGCAAGACAGGAGGCTAGAGTGAGGGGAGGGGCCGCCAGCCCTCTCTCTTTTGTGGCTTAGCCACCTGTGAAGGCTGATCTTGGCTGTCAACTTGAGCACTTCTGGAATCAACTAAAACCCAAACAGCTGGATACAGCTGTGAGG